CCGGACCCAATGTAAGGAGATAAGTGATTGTATCTGTAATACCTCAGTGTGCAGGCTGGTTCATTCAACCAATTAATAAGCCCCTGCCCTGAGCATAAAGCAAAGCCTGTTTGGAAAGGTTAATGTCAGGCTCCTAGACAGCTCAGTTAAAGTTACCTTTTTGCACTTTGCAGGAGCTCCCTGAGAATTTTGTCACAAAGTCTGCTTAGTGAAGCAGAGCAAAATAACACTTGGTATTTTGTAAAAAGCCATTGGAGGATCTCCAAGCATTTTGCATGAACTAGTAAAGGCAGCTCAGCTGTCTCTGACAGGTAAAGCAAGATTATGTTCTTCAGTAAGAGGAAGAAATTTTTTCTTTTTACTTTTATTTTTTGAAAATTAAACAGTTCTGTTCTTTGTAAAAAGTATTTCAATGTAATTGTGGTCTGCGTGGTCTCGGATTCTCCCAAGACCACAGCAGGGAAAATATCAGTTAAGAGTTTAAAGAGAGAACCTCTTCTGAGGTGCGCGGGAGTGGAAGGCAAAAGTGCTGTTGGCTAAGCAGGATTTAGACAGTGCTTCTCATGTAGTCGAAGCTAAAATTTTTCTCAGGATCAAGTCCCATCTCAGCTGATGGTAATTGGAATTTTGACATTTGTTTTGGTGGAGACAATACTTGTCCACCTATGGAGGCTTTGCTCAGAACAGACTCAGCTCTTGACAGTGAGGAAGATCCATGGAGAGATTAGCTTTGACTGTTTTTCATCACACTTTCTCTTTTTCTTTTTTTTTTTTTTAACAAAAGTACAACCCCCCTTTCTAAAGATATTTTTTTCTTTTTCCTTGCAGTAGAACTCCACTTTCAAAATCTCCCACAGTTCTTTGCAGAGGCTTGTGTCTGTCTTGCAAACAATAAACACTCGTGTTGTGAAAGTAATTTTTTTTATCTGACATGATCAAGATAAGGTTAAAAGAACACTAAGTAGTCAAGGAAACTCACTCCCACATCTTCCTTATGCTATTTATTTGAGGAAGGTTTGCAATGGAATGAACAGTGTTATTTAACAAGTCATAATAACTTTAATTTGTTTAGCAGTTGGATAAAAAGAAAATTAATTACACAAGTACCTTCAAAGGGAGAATTTCTACATAGTAAATCTTCAGCCGTGAAACAACCACCTGCCATAGCAGTTAGTACACCTGAGCTGTGCATTTGAGCACTCTTAATCCTTTCCAATGTGAAGTAAAAAGGACTTATGCTGTTGTTTTTCAGCTGTTCAGTGTTAGTAAATTGTGAGTGTCATAGCCGTTTGAATAGTGAATATGTACTGCATATGAAAAAGTGCCTTGCTTAGCAGATAGCAGTCAGGGAGCATGCAGCTATCACACGTGCTGTACTTAGCACTGAGCTGTGGGGCTGGCTTCCCACTGCCATAGCTGTATGTGCCTCAGGACATAGGATAAAAGGTTAACAGTATTAAAAAAAAAAAAAAAAAAAAAAGTGTCTCCAGATTGAGAATAAGAGGCCTACTTCTCCCTTAACAACAAATACATGGAAAAAGATCACAGAATTCTCTTTCTGCCTATAAATCTGCCCCTGAGGCTTGAGGGCTCATACGTTTCACTCATTCTTTTAGGTCTGAAACAGATCCAACGTCAATCAAGGCTAGGAAGGGGGAAACCTTGCTCTGAGGAAATAACTGAACAAGAGCCCCTCTTCCTAAAGTTTTCTTGCTTAAACAGCAATGTGGAATAAATCCAGTTAGGTCACAACGCTGAGGAGGAAGGTGCGGGCTGGCAGGTGCCCGCGGGCTGGGCTTGGTGATGAGGGGCGGCCATGTTGCTGCTGCCAGCGAGCCTCAGCAGAGCAGCAGCCCTTACCCAAAGCAACCCCTCTGACAGAAAAACTTGCATGTTTGGGGTCAGTCCTAGCAGTTCTGTAGTAAGGAATTTCTTGGAACAAGGCTTCCTCGGCAGAAATCTTTCCTTGGGGGGAGGAAGGGTCAAGAGAGGCCTGCTCTGAGCTGGGCCCTGCTGTGAGGAGCCCCCCCTCCTGTGGTGCCAGATCTCCTCAAGGCCTCAGTCCCTATTTCATCTTCAGGATGGTGAAATGAAATCCTGGAGCTTCAGTCTGCTGTAGATTTCTTTCCAGCCAGTCTTGGTAGCTGTTTTTTCTGCATGTTTTTATGCTTCTGATAGAGCTCACCTGCTGCATGGCGCTGAGAAGTCTGCTCACTTGGAAGAGGTTTGTTTTCATTCTACTTGTCCTTACAGGATTTATGGAGGTTTGGGTCTTATCAAACTAATAGCCTTCAACTTTTCAGTATAGATATTTAAAAACATCTGGTCCTAAATGCTGTATGTCATTATCTGTAAAATAAATGACAGGTTTGGGAACCTCCTTTCAACCCTGAAGCAAGCAACAACAAAAATTAAACGCAGTGCTACCCTCTATTGAGGAGCCCTGCTCCTTAGGGTGCCTGAAAATTACTCTCTTCTGGGTAAGAAGCTGTTTCTCAAAAACTCAGTGGCAAATTTGTCAGGACAGCCTGGTTCTGACCAAAGCTTTGCTGGCCTCTTCTGAAGCAGAGGCCCTGAAATGCCAGGCACAGAGCTGCCCCTTCTCTAGGCTGCTAGCAACCTGAAACTGGTATAATCATGGCTTTAAAACGGGAGCAAAAAACAAACAAACAGAAAACCCCAATATTACATCACAGTCCTGCCCAGGAAGCTGTTATTCCCAACTCAGAATTGTTCTGTTGTTTCATGGTTCATGCCAAGCCAGAGACATGGTTGCATATATATCTCACTGAATAAGGCTTAACAGTGAAATATTTGATACTACTTTGAGAATTAAAAGATTCTTGAAAACAAGGCATTTAAATGTGTAAAACAGCATTAGACACTTAACAGGAATCCATTTAGATAAGCAGTGTTTGACAAGGACCTTTTTCTTGATATTTATGCTGAGGAATATAAGGGTGTAGATAGTTGTGATCCAACATCAGTGAGAGAAAATATACTGGATGTTATTGCTGGTTTGAATTGCTTTCCATTCCAGTTATTTGAATCCCCGGCTTGTTTTGTTTTCATGTAACTGGATTTAATGTTTTAGAGTTTAAAACAGAAACTTTATTGAGGTTTCTTAAGACTTTAGGACTTCAGGTTTCATGCAGACACTTGTTTTGTCTGAATCCAAAGGAATTTAAATTACAGGAGCTGATAGATTTACCTGTGATTATGTTTATGGCTATACACAACTGTGTTTGTGTGCTCTTGTAACTTCACTTAAAAATTATAGTAAGTGCTTCACTACATAGTGATTTTTGAATTGAGCCTCAATGTTTTAGTCAAGTTATTGGGATATAGCTGTGGGAATCCATTCAATTCTATGGTGATGAGCAAGAACTGCATGGAAGCGTTATAGCTCACAGAATAATCTGTCTTTTAAAACTGCTGAGACTGTGCTCACTTTCCCTTTCCTAAAGACATCTATCAACTCCCAGAAAGCATTAGTCCAGAGTTCCAAATGCAGAGATCTGACTAATTTTCTGCAGTATCATGAGAGGAAGATACTTTGCAAATAGGCTGGATTTGCTTAAACTGTTAAACTTCACGTGTTAAAGCATTTTCTTTGCAGCAAGATTTGTATTTTGCACAGAAGATGGAGTGTATATAGGCATATCTATGTGGAGAACATGTGTCTGTTGACTCCTGAGTAATGCAGTTTGTGGCTGTGTAACCTATGGCTATTATCCTACGTATGGTATCTCAGATATTTCTGTAAGAAAGGAGAGTGTCAAAATTCATCTCTCTTATGAAAGGTCAGTCTATTTTACAGAGTAATGGAGAAGGGGAACCAGAGGGGGATTCTGCAACCCATTTCCTCTATGTGAATTCCCACTAGAATTTTCTTTAATGTTTTGATGTCTTTAAATAAATAAATAAAAAACAAAAATAAGACCCTTCCCAAAGACCAAATAAACAAGACAACAACAAAAAACAACCCAGACCAAACCCCATGCTACTCTCTCTGAATTTTCTCTTCATTTTTTTAATCTCTCATCATTTCCAGACTGGCAGGTAAAATGTCCACACAGATATCTGAGTGCAGGTGTATTCAAATGGGTTTGGAATAAGCAAACAAGATCACCCATGCCTGGACACTGACACTGTCTAAACTCTCACATGTCTATATTGTAGGAATTTACTTCTACCTTTCTTCTCTGATAGAAGTTGCTTGAGCAAATAGAGCCTACTGTATCAAGTCTGCATAGTGTAGCCTATTAAAATAAGATTAAATAGTTAGGTGGGATGGTCCTTTTACGATCTTAATAAGGAAGAAACTGGTGCCTAAGGCTCTAAGCTCTATTTGTGAGAGAGAGTGTGCCTTAAATCATTGCTTTGACTGTGTAACTTCTTTGCGCTCAATGGCTTGCAAGGATGGGTCTCTAACAGAGCTGTTAAACGGGCTCAGCTACAAGAGTTGTTGCAAGTGTGCACCTGTCTAGTAACAGCAAGTTAAAAGATAGGTGCTTGAATAAATCAGTCAACAGGTTTTATGAAAGACTTGGGAGAAGAGAGGACAGCAGAAAGTAGCTGTAATGCTAATCAAAAATGAAAGATGTTCTGAAAGCATGTGAGAACAGGCAAATGTTAGCAGGTGTTGCAAATGTCCAGGCTTAGAAGCAGAGTTTGAACCACAATGGGTAAAACTACTTTGACATAGGTTAAACAGTAGTAAAAATGCTAGTTTAGCCATGTAATCTCAGAGAAGGAAATTCTCATTTAGGAGTGGATCGGAATGCCTTGGACTGTGAAGTTTTGGTTTCTTTAATAGAGAATCTTCTATCCAGCTTGGGCCTGAACTACTTACACTGTGTGTTCACTTGATTGTTCCTTCTTTGAATGGTTTATTTTTCTTTTTTTTTTTTGTGTTGGAAAATCCAGGTCTTAAGCTACCTCTTGCAGCACCTCTATTAATGTAAGCTTTCTTAGTGACCATTTCCATTGTATTTCAGATCATCAGGAGCAGTTTCCAAGGAGACTACCTCCTTGTGGGTTGAATCTTCAGCAGGTGCATATTAGCTCATTTCCAGCAAAGTCTGCAGGGTGAGTTGTTCAAGTTTGTTTATGGTATTAAGCTCATGAATCAAACTGTTAGCTGTAACACAAACAGGGGGGGAGGAGGGAGGAAAAAGTTTAATCTTCTTTGACTCTTCTTGAGGGCAACACTGATGATCAGTCTGTGGCTTCAAAATAAATAAGCTTATTTGGGCTACAAAATGTAAAAGCCTGTTTGGATACTATGCATTGTATTTCACCATGAACTTGAGATTTTCTTTAAGGAAACAGCAAGTTCTAGAAAACAATATGTTCACTTGTGATTTCTGGAAGTCTTAATTTTCAAAGCATTAGGAGATCAGCCTGCAGCTCTTAGGGTTGCTTTGTGTAAGATTGGGAACATCAGGATTCTGATGAAATTTTGCAGCTTTTACCTCCTTTGGCACTTTTCTCTCTGTGTTGGTGATTCAGGTGGCAATTGTGAAGTAAAGTACACTTATCTTTTCCACTCCAAGCTTGAAGTTAGCATTTGCTACAAATCATTTCTGTGTCTCCCTCAGCAGGTCCTATCCTGGAACTAATTTATTTCCTGTTTGGTGTGTGTGTTCTCAGGGGAGGTGCATATATGTTTTTATTTTAATTATCAGTATACCAGGGTAGGTTTGCCTGCATATAACATTAGAAATAGAAGAAATGCTGTAGGCAATTTATGTCACATTAATTTATAGCTTGGATATGATTTGGATAACTATATGAATTACTTTACCAGTGGACTTGACCTTCACATATGGTGGTAAATTGTGTGAAAAAGAGAACACCAACAATGTATTTAAGGAGGGGAGGAATTTGAATCTGAATGGTCTTGATTTTGTAATAAATCAGCCACAGAATAAACATGTCTCTTCTCTCATACCGCACATATGGAACAATGATTAGAACCAGCACATCAAAAAGATCACAGGAGTAAACAGAACTATTTATGACACTTTTCTTTTTTTGAAATTTATGAGCATGTTTAAAATGCTAACTTCATAATCTCCTTTAATGCATGTAAGTCTAGTATATGTTTTAATACTTAGAAATATGGATGTATTCCAGCTTTACCCTTCATAAATATATTTTGGGGCTATTTCTCTAAATAGCTGTGACTTAATGAAAGGTATGGAATTATGTATGCCTCTTAGGGTGTTATATTTCTAAGGATATTGTGTGCATACTTTTATTCTGGGAGGTCTCCTGGACCACACCCTCTTCTGACAGTTGCATCCAGCAATATGGTAATGTTGCAGAATATTGTTTAAGGGCAAACTGTTCTTACGAGTGAGCAGTTCTACCCTTTCTGTGCCTCTCAATTTTCTCTTCCAGCTTCTTGACCCAGGATGACTTTGGCATAAGTTCCATAGCTTTATTGACTTGAGCTTGAAAAGCATCGAAGTCAGACATGTCACTGCTATTGTTTTCATATGCAGTTTATCATGGCATCAAATATGCAAAGAAAGCTATACAAAGCCAAACTTTAAAAAGTTTGGGGGGGGGAAAGAGGTGCAAAAGTGAAAACCTAATTCTGAAATGAGGTAATTTTATTTTTTTAGGTCAATATAGGTGAGATGTCATCTAGGTTTGAATTTTGGGCGGAATCAATTCTGATCTATGGCATGGTGAAGTGCTCTTGAAAGTTTCTAGTTTAGAGAAAGTTCATAGAAGCAGATAACCTAGCAATGTTTAGAATATGTTGCTAGGTGTGATGAGTGAGCTGAGAGAAAACATGGATTCTCTTTCAGTTATTAATTTAAATTTTAACTAGAATCTCAGATGGTTTCTCACCTGCATTTCAACATGCAGGGCTAGACTGCAATGGAAAACTTTTTGTTTAAACTAGAACCAAAATCATAGAGGTTGGAGAAGATTGTCCAAAAATTTTAAAGCAAAGTCATTTTTGTTCCTGAGTAATTAAAATCTCTCAAGCATCTAACCCACTCAGGTACTCTGATTCATTTGGGCTTGGTTGGGAACTGCATGCCTATCTCGACTCTTGCATATTAGCACGGCTTTCCCCCACCCCCATGCTATTAACTAACTGTTGAGCATCACTGCAAATTCATATTATGGTGTGACAATTTCCTACTGTATTTGGGTAAATGTTGTAGAAAACATAATGCTGTAGCTCTGTTTAGTCAGACTCTGTACAGATGTAAGGTTAGTCATGGATCAGACTTCGTTTTCATCTCTCCTTCTGCTTCATTGCCCACATATGGGGTTTTGAGCATGAATTATTAATAATTGAATCATTTTAAATGCTGGAGATGCACCAGTTGTTGTCAGATTTAAAATTTGTTCCTTTTAATTACATAGTTACCATTTAATGCACAACATGGATCCAAGGAGTTTTAATTGTTAAAGAACATTTTTTCACCTCTCCTGATTGGTGTGAGATAGATCCTGAGTACAGAGAAATCTTTGTTAAACCCACTGAATTTTCTTGTCAGTGCTAAATTAACACAATATGTAAGAAATGACCATGAATAAACATTTTTAAGGATGCGTGCTTTTTAATCTGTGCATTCCTCTGCTGCTGCTAATATTAGGAGACTAAAGCTTCCAATTGTCTTACCTGGTAACCATAGATATTTTTGGGAAGAAAATAAGCAAATGAAGATTAACTATTTTGTATGGATGAAAAGCTGAAGTCACTTTGGAGATGCTGTTACTTCTGTCTATTGCTTTCCTTTCAGTGGTTGTTGCTGATGGTAATAATTCATCAGGAACCCTGGAAAAAATGTACATCCTCTTGTAGTCAGGGCTAGGCTTAACAAAATGGATTTTGGGGTATTCTAATCACACATCACACTTAATTTGATCTTGCTCTACAAGGTGGTTTAGGCCTACTCCTCATGTAGATCTTTGATCAAGGAGATGCAGTTTGGAGAATATTGCCTGGAGATTTTCCACTGGAAGTTCATGTAAAATTAAGCAAAGATTTAAAGTGATCTGTAGACAAATGTAGCTACAAAGTAATGTTCAGATTTCAGCAGAATTGAGTACCTACAGGGTTTCCCTTCTTAAGAATTACGGAAATAGAAAAGGTTTCTTCTGCAGTTTTTTTTTCCACAACATCTGGATGCTCTTATTTTTTCTAATCAATTTACGGTTACTTCCATAGAACAGCCTGAAGGAAGATGAAAATGCATGAGCATGTAAGAATTTCTTAAAAGCAACATCTAAGTCTGTAATGAGGAATGCTATAAATAGACGGTGTTTTTTTATATTATTTTCCTTTATTTACTCACAGTGCAAAACATTACCCGTGTCTCTCCCTGTGACCCTCAACTGCTTTTTAGGCTACAGATAAATAAGTGGAGGACAACCAGAATCTGGCAATCCAACAAGTTGCATTTATGAGGGACAGTTTTCTATTGAGAAGAGTAGGCATTTGAACAAGTGATGCACTTGGCTTGCATTCACCCAAGGGTAAATATGCAATTATGGGTGGTGGTTAATGTTTAGAAAATGCATTTTGTCATCACAGCCTTTTAAAGTCAGATCCATTTAATTTTCTGCAAGAGGAACCTGCTGATGTATTTGTAGCCATAGGGAAGTGCTTCTGTTCAGGTAAAAGAATGGAAATAATTGCAGAAATTCCTGTGCTGTTGCAGAGAGGAAATGTTTTCCATCTGAACAGATCTGCCTTGCACTCAGTAGTGCAGGTTCAGGTTTTAGAGTTAGGAATTAAGTTAGATCCACTATAGTCTTTTAAATGAATGAACCTCTGTAGAACCACTAATGATCTGAGTTATCTTACCTGGTTAGTATCTGTTGTTATAATGTGACTTTGGACCTCGACTGGACAATGCATGATGGTAGTGAGGTTAAATGACAATTGGACTGGTTTATCTGCAGTTAGACTCAGTGCTTTTCTATTCCAGAATGTTATAACACAAAAAACACTTTAAAAAGTGTTAGAAATCAAACTATTTAGGTTTTAGATTGTGAAAACAGAGACATTACTTATATTGTTACATGGAATTCTCTTTTATTTAAAAAAAAAAAAAAAGGAAAAGGGGGTACAAAATCCATCAGGGAACAAAAATCCTTGCTAAGATGAGAAATCAATGTGCTTTTAGAGCAATGCCCTTTAGTTTTGAGAGCAAAAGCTGATGTACTTCTGTGGGACCTGCCATAGTGTACAGGAGAAGGGCTGTTCACACCAGATACTTTGTAGAAATTTTTCTCTCTTCCTTTTTTATTCCTATTTTTTTCTAATGATTTGTTGAAGCTGGAGGAATCATTTTAGTTTTACACAGTATAACTTACAGAACTATTCCATTGGTACTTCTCATGGGTATAAGATAATTAATCTATTTCAATACTGCAAATGATCTCATTTTTTTGTTCACCTTGCCCCAGTAAAATATTAACTACTCATCATTTACATAGCTAAAATAAGTTCTTGAATACCAAAAGTCAATGCATGTTATGAAATCTGAATTTCTTACATTTTCTTTTGGAGTTGGTTCTCCAAAGCTGTATATAATATTACTTGTTGTCTTTGTTAAAGGAGATGTTTAAATATCACAGTAATAACATCTAAACTCATTTAATATAAGAGTCTAGTCCTGTCGTTTCAAGTTCATGTTGCTGAAGTCCTGAGATGCTCCAGGCTGTGGCTGGAATCAGGCCCTCTGGCCTCAGTTGGCCATGTGCAAAAGGATCTCAGTAGGTGAAGGTTTGTAACCCCGGTTGTGCAGTCTGTTGAGTTTTCCTGCCTGGAAGAAACCTGTCTGGAATTCTAGTAAGAAAAGAAAATTTTCACAACTTTTGATGCTGAACTGATTTAAACTTTGAGATTGAAACCTGATAAACTTTGCAACCTGTTGCAGCTTGGAGATTTTATTGCTTCTTGCTGCTTTCATTCACCATATGGTCTGCTATTCACCAACTCTGCCCTAATGAGAATTACTCTTGCAGGTAATTTTCTAATGATTGTCTTGGGATAAACAAATTTTTCATACTTGTTTTGCTAATGTATTCAAGTAGGTTCACAGGGGAAA